TCAATCAATCAATCAATCAATCAATCAATCAGACTGATCAAGATCCGCGGATCTTGATTGGTCTGATTGATTGATTGATTGATTGATTGATTTGATCTCTCTCTCTCTCTCTCTCTCTCTCTCTCTCTCTCTCTCTCTCTCTCTCTCTCTCGCTCGCTCGCTCTCAGTCTCTGTCTCTCTCTGTCTCTCTCTGTCTGTCTGTGGCATACTGTGCAGCCACACGGGCCCTGCAGGGCCCGTCCCGGACCTCCAGCCTGTTTCCCTACAGGGAAACTTCCAGGCTCTTGCCTGGAAGCTTCCTTCTGACAGGGCCTACAGGCCCCAGCCTGTTTCCCTACAGGGAAACTTCAGGGAACTTCCTGGCTCTTGCCTGGAAGCTTCCGCAGGGTCTAGGCCAGGGAGGCATTGGCACGGCCAGCCTCCTGCACGGGCCAGCACTATAAAGGACTGGCCCGCCCTGCARGAGGYAGTGGTCAGTASGCACTTGTAGTCTTCAGGATTTCGGCCRCAGCACTCAGGAGGAGCGCTGCAGTAGTCTTCAGCGCTAGGCAGTAGTGGTAGCGCTAGGAGTAGTCTTCGGCGCTGGGCGCCATAGCCATAGTTGTCGTCTTCAGCGCTGGGCGCTATAGGGCAAGGTAGCAGTATCGGAGAGAGACACWGGCGGAGGCCAGTGGTACTTACCTGTGGCGCCATCGCTCCAGCTCCATCCTCGGTGTACCTGCATCAAGACGCTAGTTTTACAGGTTAGTATTGGACTGAGAGAGAGAGAGAGAGAGACCTTCTTCTTCCTCTTCTAAGTCCACCATCTCTTCTTCCCCTCCCGCTGCCTGCCTCTCAGCATCTATGGGCTACGAGATGGAGCTTTGACATGGGACATGACGACATTGTCATCAGACTTGATTCCGGGATACAGACATTCGTTGAGGATTATTTGGGACCTGTGACGCAGACTTGGAGTTGACGATATCTCCCATCTTCTCCTCTCCCTCTCTCTCTTCCCTTCCCCCTTCGTCTGTGTATGTTGGGGTCTGGCGCTATCTATTCTGTGTGAGCGTCAACCCTTCACACCACTGTATGATGATGATAAATGTCGGGACTGTACTGCAACATTGATTGAGTCGGATCATTGATAAGTCTTCCGCTCGCCATCTTGTACTTTGAAATGAAAGGTCGGTTCTTGTTCTGTTTTGCATGATCTAGTATGCAACAGTTTGGTATCGGAGCGGACCTCTCATTCAGAGGAACCGCTCAATCAAGAGTTAGCCTGCTCGATCTATTGATCTTTTGATTAGTAAATCAGGTCGGACTTCGTCAGAACTCAGAAATTATTATTATTATTATTATTATTATTATTATTTTTTATGCATATCTGAAAATTTGTGATCATAGTATTTCGTTTATCGGAAAATCCTGGTATTTGCATTTCGTTTTTCGCAACAACATCTGATATTTCTGGTATTACCATTTCGCTTCTTCTGAAATTCCGATGTTAGTCTTTCGTTGTTACGCAACAAATATATGGAAGTTCTGAAGTAACGGTTCGTTTTTTCCAATATTAAAATCCCAAATTTTTTATATTCGCATACATAGCCGAAATCTCTGAAGCTAGTATTTTCGTTTTCTAGGCATGACAGGATAGTAATAGAAATGGTCATATTCTCGGAGACCGAATTTATTCTGTTCTGAAAATCGAATTTCCATTCTATCCCGCAAGTTTTTTTTTTTTCTTTTTTTTTTGTTCTGAAATCTGAAATCTTGCGAAGCCTATCAGCCAGACATTTTAGGCATAGTCGAAGATCGTCAAAAGCCGGAATTTTGCGAACTTAGCCTAGACCTCGTTCAAAGTACTCTTCTGACATACCTCACTCGTAAAAATCAACAGATATATACAAAAAAAAAAAAAAAAAAAAAAAAAGTAGTCCAGTTTTATTTTTATTTTTATATTTTTTTTATTTTATCTGTTGATCAGGGCCGAAGGAAAGTATTGTTGGGTTGGTATCCCTACCTGCGTTTTCCCTCCCACCCACCCCCTTGTCTACATTCTGGGTTGTTTACAGTGCCAGGTCAGCAGTGCCACGTCAGCAGTGCCACGTCAGCAGTGCCACGTCAGCAGTGCACGTCAGCAGTGCCAGGTCAGCAACCATGACGGGACCAGCGCTGGGCTTACCAGGCCAACTGGCCAACGAGTCCATCACCGAGTACCGACAGCGGGTCCAGGCTCAGCTCGCGCTCATTGAGGCCGAGGAACAGCGCCAGGCGGCAGCCAAGGCGGGCAACAGCGGGTCCAAGCTCAGCTCGCGCTCATTGAGGCCGAGAAACAGCGCCAGGCGGCAGCCGAGGCTGCCCGCCTACAGGCTGAGACGGCAGCGGCAGCTGCCAGGCTGCGGCTTCAGGCCGAAGCCGAGGCACACACCAGGGCACGCCGAAAGGAAGCCCAGGAGCCAACGCCATGAAGCAGCCAGCATCGAAAGGCTCAAGTACTGACACTTTGAACCAAACGGCAACGAGCCGATACCGGAAGAGCAATACAAGGAGTTTCTTTCCAAGCTCGTGTCACGCCTGTTGTATACTTGCAACTACCAACGGGCCGAGCTAGAGAAACAGCACCAAGAGTTGGCAGACCTTCGCCGAATAGTGCAGGGCCACGAGGATGCAACATAGGCACTCAATGCCCGTGTACTGGACCTGGAACAGTTTGTACCAGGACCAGATGCTGGTACGTCCAGCAGTGAACCCTCTAGCCGCCAACTGGAGGAACGCGTTGATCACGTAGTGGCGATGCTCGGCGACATCAGTGCTTTCGCTGCACCTACCACCATCAGCAGTCAGTTGCACACCTTGAAGACCGAGGTCCAGCAGCTGCAGTCGACGAAYTCGGAGGGCAATCCTAAGTTGTACAAGATGCCAACCTTCCAACTCGAGAAGTTCGACGACTACACGCATCAGGATCCGGTCCTCTGGTGGGAAGCATTCACGACGCAGCTTCGGATCCTGCCAGTCGCCAAGCACGCATACATCGGTGCCCCTTTCCTTAACTCAAAGGGCGCATGCCAGACTTGGTTGACCCATCTGGCAGCCACTCACGGCGTCGACGTGGTAGATCTTCGAGACAAGATCACATGGGAGGAGTTGACACGGTTGTGGAAGAAGAGGTTCATCGTCGACGACGCGCCTGCTCTCGCCATCAACCGCCTCTTCACCATGACCCAAGGCAACACGGCAACACGAGACTGGCTCACGGAATGGCAAAAGATCGCGGCAACGCCGGATCTGGACTTGCCATTTACGCATCTGCGCCGAGAGTTCTACAATAGGTCATGTGCTGCACTGAGCCAGGCATTTGGTGATCGCGAGCAGTACTCAACCTTCGCTTAGATCATCGACAAAGCGATGGAGATCATCAAGACTAATAGGGCGGCTGCACACGAGAAATCAGCATGGCAGCCAACCTATGTGGAGAAGGTAAAGACTGGTCCGCGGCAGCAGCATTTCGCTGCAGTCCAATCGGACAGTGGAGACGACCCGGCAGCCACCAAGGCATCAAGTGAAGGAGATCGGGTGGCTGCAGTCCAGCCGAGAAGCACCAACAAGTCCCGGAACAATGGGAAGGCGAAGACCGCATCATCGGCTGGAACAGGACAGTCAGCGCCATGGGTCAAGTTTAACTTGACTGAGGCCGAATACAAGTACCGTGGTCGGTACGGCTGCTGCTACTGGTGCCATAGCACAAAGCACAAGACCTCCCTCTGCCAGGACAAGGAGAAGGAGGATGTTCGGCCTCGCAACAACTCGGGAAACTGAGTAGCGCGGGAGGTGAGGCGACTCCACCTCCCACTCCGCCAGATCCGGCCGCCTTACTAGCGGCCTCCTACACATCAGGGGAGGATGCGAATGTCGCAAGTTCTCGTGTCACTTACGAGGACTATGCTGTCCACTTGGTCCCACCGCTGGACCAACCACTCCACGTGCAACACTCCACCGCATGCACGGTTTCATCTCCATCGGCAACCAATTCGGCAGTTCCGCCATCATTTACCTCAGGGGATTCGTCGATGTGGTCAAGACTTGAAGAGCTCGACCCGTTGACAGTCGCGGACTTCCAGTGGATGCCCGTTCCCCCGACCGGGCGATTGTCGAAACCGCATTACAATGTGCTCATGGCACAATTGCGGGAGTATTTGCACACTGCAGTACCGACTTCATTGATGGATGCCGGAGTAGAGGTTGTCGACCTTCAGGAGTACATCGCGAAGATCGACCGCGAGTTCAAGACACAACGGTACGACGACATTGACGCACCATTGTTGTATGAACGCATTCAGATCGGAGAGGCGACCTGCAGCGCCTTGATCGATTGCGGTGCAAGTCGCAACTACATGAGTCAGGACTTCATGGTACGCGTCGGCCTTGGCCCACGCGTCAGGAGGAAGTCCCACTTGACACACGTGACGTTGGCCGATGGTCACACGCACAAGTCAATTGACCGGTGCATTCACAACGTCCCTGTGTATTTCGCCCCGCATGCACGCGAGGCCGTGTCCTTCGACATTCTGGACACTACGTTCGACATGATTTTGGGCATGTCATGGCTGTGAAGTGAGGACCACCCGGTGAACTTCTACCGCCGCACCGTTCACATTCGTGACCGGGATGGAGTACTAGTCCCATGCACGGTGCCTCCTCCTCACCCTTCGATCAGCTGTCACGTGGTGTCCGCCGCAAGTATTCGAGATTCCATCATCAGGGATGACATTGAGGAGATGGGGGTGTGTTTTCTCCACGCCCTCCCACCCCAGGACACCCCATTGACGGACGCATCATCGGACTCACGCATCACCGAGCTTCTCGCCACTTATAGTGACATGTTCGAGGCCCCGCACAGAGTAGTACCGGATCGGCCCATCCGCCACGAGATCATCCTCGAGGACGGGGCTGTACCTCCGCGTGGTTGCATCTACTTAATGAGCGAGGAAGAGTTAAGTGTGCTACGGGCACAACTCGACGACCTTCTGGAGAAAGGCTGGATTCGGCCTAGCTTTTCGCCATATGGTGCGCTTGTTCTCTTTGTCCGGAAGAAGAACAAGGATTTGCGGTTTTTGCATTTACTATCGTAAGCTCAACGCGCATACGGTTAAGAACGCCGGCCCTCTCCCACGCATCGATGATCTCCTAGAGCGACTGGGCGGCGCCAAGTTCTTCTCCAAGTTGGACCCCAAGTCGGGTTATCACCAACTTGAGATTCGCCCGGAGGACCGATACAAGACCGCGTTTAAAACGCGATATGGGCATTTCGAATGGCTGGTCATGCCGTTTGGCCTTACGAATGCCCCAGCCACATTCCAGGCGGCTATGACATTGGAGTTCCGACACATGCTGGATCGTTTCGTACTCATCTGCCCCGACGACATCTTGGTCTACAGTCGGAGTTTGGACGAGCATGTGGAGCACCTGCGCACCGTTCTGGAACGACTACGACAGGCCAAGTACAAAGCCAATGCATTTCGAGTTTATTTTTGACTCGCAGTTGGCCTGTACCAACGAACTTTGTTGTGCGGACTCCGAATTTTGATTGCAGCTCAGACTCGGCTTTCGCAGTCGAGATGTACTAACGAGCTTTGGGTTGCCGCGTGGCTCACGCTATTGCGATCGCGGAGTGCTAGTTGACGTCGACCCCCCCCCTCAAGAACCTCCGTGGGCAGACGATTGCTCGTTCGGGCCACACGTCGACATGAGCTCATTAGTGTGGATAGCACTCCACTCAAGGAGCTGATCGAACACGTTCTCATAAGAACAATGTTTATTTCTATGTCTCCCGATCTATGAGCAAGGGACGACAACTTCTTCAAGTTCCCCATCGCCCTTACGATCGAACTCAAGCGGAGTTGCTGATCGAGTTTACATTGCACCTGACGACTGCTCGCTCGGGCCACACGTCGACACGAGCTCATCAATGTGGATAGCACTCCACTCAAGGAGCTGATCGAACACGTTCTCATAAGAACAATGTTTTTTTCTCTATCTCCCGATCTATGAGCAAGGGACGACAACTTCTTCAAATTCCCCATCGCCCTTGCGATCGAACTCAGGAGAGTGTCGGCGTTTCATGTTCAGGCCACACAACGCGATGCAAGAAACCCCCAACGCACCTGCACACGTGGAGGCATAGTTTCGCAGATTACAAACTTTGTTCCAACGCGTAGTTGAAACAAAGCGACACACAATAGCAGGGCCAATAACAAATAACAGAGGCAACTTCCCCCAAAGATGGTGGTGCGAAACGACAATGAAAAATCCCCAAACATGGCGGTTTATCCGTTTACCGTATTTTTTCATTCGATTTTGGTTTTCATATTTTATGGTTTGTGTTGTTTTTTTAGATTGGCTATATTTATTCGCATGTTTATTGTGGGCATGCAAAAAAATCATTGTCTTTCACAATATATTTATTGTTTTTTTTTTTTTTTTTTCCGCGTAGTTGTCCGTTGCGAAAGCCACCCGCCTCTAGAATTCAAAGGCACGCAAAAAACGTATTGTCTTTCACAATATATTTTATTATGTTTTTTTTTTTTTTTCCGCACAGTTGTCCGTTGCGACATCCACCCGCCTCTCGAATTCAAAGTCCATATGAGAAGCGAAGCATTGGATGTGAAACCACCGAAGATGGCGGTGCTTAAACTTGGTTTTGTTTTACTCCTTTCCTTTCTTTGTATATTTTTCTCTTTATTTAGGAGCACTATAAATGCTCCACATCTACTTTTGTGAATTTCGTATAACGCAACACACATCTACTGTTGTTTTGTTTTTTTTTTTGCCCCTTGCAAAACGAAAAACATACCGACGCCACGACAAAGACAGATGTGTCAAAATTTGTCAATTGTTTTCCGTATTTTAGTTTTATTTCAAATCTGGTAAGGAATTCGGATGTAACGCTTAGGCAAATCTTGTTTAATTTATTTTTCTCCATAAACTATCTTTT